TTGATTTGTTGTTTTTGTTGTGTCTAAAAGTAGAATGCGATCTAATATTTGTTTGTTTGTTTGTTTACTAATCTTACATGTTTGTTTTGTTGTTGCTTTTACATGCCTCTAAGATCAGATTTTTCAGGATCAAACAAATTTACCATAAAACTCAAAAATTTTCTAAAAATTTTCGAAAGTTCAAATTTTGTTGCTGATCTTAAAGTTTTTGTTAAAGGCTATTCTAATGAATTAAAGGTTTTTTTTAGTGCTCTTCTCTTTTTCTTAATACAAGAAACCTTGTTTCCTATATTAATTTTGCAGAAAAGTGTTGTTTTAGTTTAGTCGACTAGAAATTTTATTAAAATTGAAGATCAGCGGAAAAAGTTTTTATTTTTTTTTTTATCATTAATTATCATTATTTTTATTATTAGTTATTATTATTGTTAATTTTATTATAATATTTTTTTTATTATCATTATTTTTAATATTTTTTTTATTATTGTTATTTTATTTTTTTGGCGACGTAATTTATTGTGTCCAATCAGAGACATTATTCACTGCTCCAATCAGAAGTGGTGAGAGAAATTAGAGCCCCTGCCCAGATTTGTGATATGGTTGTTGACAAACAAAACAGGGAATTGTGAGTTTTCCGAAATTAATTTTACAGATCAAACCCTGAAAAATGTGATTTAACACACTATATAATTTATGTTGTGCTTAATTTAAATTTATTAGGAATCAAATCAGAAAGCGGAGCCAGCAAAAATCAAAATTGCTGGTTTTCGCTTGTCGATACCCATATACGCATATCAGATATATACTATATTAGATTTTTAAAAGGCTGAATTCGACAAAAATAAATGATAAAGCCTAAAGCCTTATTGTTTTTTGTTAGCAGTTATACATAATGGCTCTTGCGTATTTATGTAACAGGTAATATATGGTATATAGCTTACATAGTATCGCCTAGGAAAAATGGTAGCCAGATAATTTTTCAGACACTACCTAAATTCAGATCTGTATTGCCAGTAATATCTATATACAGTATATACATATATACATATACATATGTGCTAAAAAGCAAATAAAATTTTTTTCAATTATATAGCTTTTTATTATTACAGTAAAATAATATATATACAAATTATACTGTGACAGTATTAAAGAAAGCTTCCAGTTTTCAATTATGTGACATGCAGTACATTTAAAAAAATTTTTTTTTAATTATTTAAATACTTGATACATTATCAATATAACAATACCCTCTACACTATTTTGAACCTGGTGAATTTTGTTTTCTGCAGATTTTATATATTATTATAATACGCTACTCAAGAGTCTATTTATTATTCTAATACATTGTGTTATTATTAAAGTCTTTCCACATTTGTGGCATAGTTTGACGATTTTTTAATTTTATGTCATTATTCATTTTTTCTAATGGCTTGAAATTTGAACGAATTCTTTCTAACTATAAATGTTTTTTTGCTTTACTATGTGATTCCTCTAATAATTCTTTTGTCTTGAATGTAATAAAAAATTAATGTCAATAAATAAATTATTATAAATTAATTAGAGTTTTAAATATACCTTGTCTAAGATTCCAAGTATATAAGTCAAATTAGCTTCATATGTATTATGTTCTTTATCGTTACTTTCAATAGTATAGCAATCCTTATTTTTAATAACTGAGTCTTGAATTACTTGAATATTTGAAATACTATGAGTTAAGGAATTCTCGATTTGGAATATATTTACTAGTTCATCTTTGTAGGTTGAAATTAATGAATAATTTCTATTTCTTTGTACCTGTTGTATATATTAAAATATAGAATAAAAATATGTTAAATTATTAAATTATAGAATAAAAATATTAATATAAATAAAATATATATATGTTTATTTATTTTACCTTTTTAAAAAATATCGCATCAGCTTTTTCAACATAATTGACTAAATGTTTGTATATGAAAAACTGGCTTTTAATAAATACAGAACATGCATATATCCATCTAACTGGATTTGTAAAATATTTGTTATTACTTTCAATCTGTTTTTTTTTTCAAGATTTCTTCATTCCTTTTTAAATTCTTTTTACCATGATACTGTATAACAACCTTGTTGAAGTAATTTAAACCGATATAATTACTGATTAATAACCTTTTTTATAAGAATGTAACATAAATGATCGATCTGTGGGTTATGAAATTTATATAAATGATCACACTTAATATGTTGCCAATGCAACTCAATTATTATCATAGTTTTGATATGACTAATACTTTCACTAGCTGCCTGGGCCCATAAAATCCATTGTTCTTAGAATACCATTCTTTTCATAAATAGATCTATAATTTAAGTAAATTATTACTTTGACAAAACATCATCATCTTACCAACACATTCTTCCTAAATATGATTTGCATTAGTAATAAAAGTCTATCTGATTTTGGTAATAGCATATGTTGATTTGAATGTTTTTCTACAAGATTAAATATATCTTCTCGCAAATTTAGGAGGCAAAATACTCGTGTATTTGAATCACTTACAATTCCCCAATTAGGATCTATTGTTGAACATTCATTATGAGCATATTTTGGAATATATGAATAATAAATGCTTGTTTTATTGGATGCTAATCATTGTTTTATTGCACGATGAATATGCCAACTGCATAATTGTAAGCGAGCTTCAAGCTACACAATTTGTGTTACACTAGTTTCAGTGAAATCTTTATCTGTTAAAATAAAAGAAAATTCTTTTAAATTATGATCCTTTAAAGTTTGCATCCACCTTATAAGAATTTCTGTTATGTTTCTATTTTTTCTAGCTGAAATTAAAAGATAGCTAAGAGGAAAACCAGTACCATCTATTACACCTATAATAGTATATAATTCCCTGCCTGAATTATTAGTACCGAATGTTGCATCAATTTCAATTGCATCAAATTTATTATTTAATAAATGATAAAACAATGCTGTTAAAAGTCCAATAGCAGGTGTAGGTAAATCAATATCTATAAGGATTTCTTGGCCAAACTCAATTAATAAATATTTTGCTGATAATAAGGAATTGAAATCACGTTGATACAGTTTGTGAGACTCGATGGACCACCAATAATATACTTGTTGAACTGTTATATATTCATGCCCTTCAATTTGATTTTCTCAAATCTGACGCCAAATTTCTGAGACAGAACAATTAATATTATTTTGAATGAAATCTTGAATTTCTTGAGTTGTTCTTGTATGTTGTGGTCTAGAATGCAACATTTTATGAGAGTATTTAACCTTAATTACATTTAATGTAGAAAGAATTTCAATCATTATTATTCCTTCACAATTAAATCATTCTAAGAATGTTGGTGTGTTGTGTCTCTCTGTTTATCTGGTACAGGATGCTTTGCTTGCTGCTTTCCAAGCTCAATTCAACAGTTACAATAATATATGAAGAAAAGAGAGTTTTTTTTTTGATATTTATTCCGATAGTCCCATGAATAACCATCACCTTCTGAAATAAAAGATATTATTTGCTGATTCATTTTATAATTTATATTTTCTTTTTGTGATTCATCTTGTTCTAAAATAAAATCAGCGAGAGATGATAGTTCAACATTAAAATCTATATTTAGCTCTTCATTTTCTCCTTCATAGTGTTAATTGGTATTATTTAAAGAAATTAGAGAGCTATATATAGTGTCTGTAATCTCCAAATAGCTAATTATTGGATCAAATTGGTTTTCATTATTTTTTGACCGTGCAATTTTGATATTGTTTCGACATTTGTAACATTTTTTTGCAGAAGCTCCTTTTTTACTTAGGAATTCATCAGAATTTCGAATGGTATGACACCCGATACAAGTTTTTTTTTGTGGATTTGACATAATTAATATATTTGTTCATATGGTACTATCATTATAAGTTATTTATTTTGTATTTTATTTTATTGAAATTTTTTGAATAAGTTGATGAATTTTTTTTGCGTATGACAATAGAATTAGAAAAAAGAGCGAAAGTAATAGAGTAGTAAAATGATAAGGAAATTAATATAAAAGGAAATTTTAATAATAATTACTACGTATGTACGTAATCACTTCCATTGTTAAAAAATTCCTTAGAATGATTGGTCAGTATTCAATTATCATTATCAAATATCAGTATCTGAAACCGGCAAATTTGTCCGGCTACCATTTTTCCTAGGCGACGCTATGTAAGCTGCTTATGGTATATGATGATTATTTCTTATCATATAGCCCGTCGTTTAACGACGGGCTCTAATACTAGTAATTAATATAGGTTTTATAATATAAAATAAATTTTCAAAAATGTTCTCATTTATTTTTTTCGCAATATGGATCTTCAACAAAACCGTCGTCGTTACCAAAAATTATTGTGATGCTCTTTCATACTAACAACTCTTATAGCGAATAAAAGATATTTAGAAGTTAATATTCGCTATCTTCTAGCTTTTAGTTATATAACAATGAATATAATTTATTTTTTCTTCACTCGGTACAAAAATTCAGCGAAGAGCTTAAAATAATAACAATTATTTTATTACTTCATTATACTTCGATATATTACCAAATATGGTTGTTACCATAATGACAGTGTAGCTAAATATGGTTGTTGTCATAATGGCAGTGCAAATATAGCTGCTTTTGTGACAATAAGTTATTTATAAGGACGAATGGCTGGAGGCAAAGTTTCATTAGTCAAAATGTTAGACCTAAAGTCTTCGGTGCTAAATGTTTATAATCGGATAATCGCCTTTATTTTTTTTCATGGAGCCATAATGGTAATTGATAAAAAAAGATAAAAAGAGATAACTTAAGTACTAATTGTAAATTTATTTTCAAAAAATTTATAAATTATTGAACCTAAATATGACAAGCAATCATAGTTTATTGCTATTTTTAAATTTTAATATTTATGAATAAACCATCTCAGACATTCAAAATTCCCTTAAGGTGATATCCAAGATATTTTCCAAATGTGATGTAGTGATAACAGCACCAGGATCTGTTTTTGTAGCAAGAGCCTAGAAAAAATATTGTTAATGTTATTCATAAGTGCATGAGATCATATATTGGACATCTTAATTATGGTGGAAAAATTGCCGGAAATTGTTTTTTTTTTGTAGTATGCAGTATTACAGCCGTTTTCAATAAGTTGTGGAAACCGTACCATGAGAATTTACAATATTTTCCATATTTACAAATACATCGATTCCTCACGGGCATATGGAAAATTGCTTTCCAAATCTTTTTTGAAAACAGCTGTAAGATAGTACAGTATCACATTAGAGGGTTGTGAAATCTAGTTCTTGATGGAACAATATTTTAATACCCTCAATATAAATATTTCTAGCTAGACATGATCATTTATCATATTGATTGTATTTTTTCGTGTAATAACGTCCGAAATACATGTGTCAGAGTCTATAAATTAGTCGATCACATAAATATTTTCCTGTGTAGGACGCACACATGCACGTACTAAAAATAACGCGTAGGTGGGCGTTATTACATTAAAAATACGGTATCATTATTTGATTAACTTGAACTGTAATAATAGAAAACTATCATATCAAAACCCGACAATTTTTTTCTACCGTTAGGATATCTATAAGATAACTACAGTACCTTTGCCATTCGAACGGTCGTTTTGATTTCCCTGCCATTCAATTGTCGTTGTTTTAATTTTTCTATGTCAACTTGACTTTTATCTTTACCATCAGCACGATCCAAAAATGTACGCCAAATTTGAGCTCGTGTTGATTCGTCAAGTTCGTCATATTTTAAGACTATACTAATCCTCTGTATAGAAATGATATATTAATACTGTATATAAAATTGAAATAACCCAGCTTAAATTGCATAAAATGAAAAACAGCTCACAGAATGAAAAGCCTTATCAAAACTTTCAACTATATAAATTAGATAAAATTAAAGATCCGAAGTTTCTTCACTTAGGGAAGAAATAAAAAAAAAATCATACCACGATTAGTTGTAAGAAAGAGAATTCCCTGATGATATTCTAATAATCTTAGGAATATTCCTACTAATGCATTACGGTTGACATCATTTTTACTTCTTTGTTCCAAGAAAATATCAACTATGGAAAAAAAAAAACAAATTTATATTTAAATTTAAATTTTTAATGCTGATGGGATAATAACACCATATAAACCTTCGTCAATGAGAATGACTGCATCCCAAACGCTTGCAACTTCAAGAATTTCACTTAATTTGGCTTCTAATTCCTTAGGTGTCACGCCTAATTCACCAACACTGACAGCATATAACGGACGACGCAAATATTCAGAGATAGCTTCGGTAGTTAATGTTTTACCCACTGAATTCATTAAATTTAAGTTGTTAGTAAATTTTGATCATATTCGTATGAAAAAAATTAATAAATAAATATATATATACCTCCAGGAGGTCCATGTAATAAGAAAATGCAGCCACCACCTTTACCACTAATCAAGTCCAATCCTCCAGAAAGTTCGGATTTTACCAAGCATGTAATAATATCCTTTTTATTAGTATCCATTATTAAATTATCAAACGCATCGTCATCAAATTTAATTTCTTTAAAAAAATTTTTTTTTTATATTAACAATGATATTTTCAAGCATTTAAAAATATAAAGAAGCTTACCATCCACTTGATCAACATAAAATTGCCCCCATTTTTTAGCATAAAAGCTGAACCCAAAGAATGTAGGAGCACACATGTAAAGCTCCTCCTCTTTAACTTTTTTTTTGGCACCCTCAACAGACAGTTTGGGTATAGCATTACGATTGGTAATATGAGTGTGCATGTAATTTACCGAATTAAAACCCATATTGTAATTTGGATCAATTAGACAAAAGGTTGCAGTGTCAATCATAATACGTCCATCACCTTTGTAATAAGTATTGCCACACCAAGATTGACGGAAAAATTTGCCAGAATATCTTAAATAATGAGCTCCAAGAGCATACTTTTCAAAGTTTTTACCACGTTTTACCAATTCATCACGCATTTCACATTCCTCTTTTAAGGGAACTACAGGAAGTTGATCAATACTTAAAACACCGATAAAATGACTAATATGCCAGCTTCTAACAGAGTTCATAAACTCATGGCCATCTAATAAACAGAAATATGTGTGAATTATATAGATATTACAGTATATAGACATTAGCATATATAAAAAAATTATATACTTGATTCAATAATTTCGCCAGTAATGATAAAGACTTGGCTACCGACATAATTTTTGTATTCACATCTTGTAACCCGGGCACCAGTAAACTTGTTATGCAATTGTGCATAAACTTGAGTTGCTGAATATTAAATGAAGTATAAATAGTTTAGTAAACTAAAATATTATTTAAAACATAATCTAGCATATAAATAATGAAAAGCTTACCGGTTGGAAATAGATACCACAAGTGTTTAAATGAAATTTCTTGCTAAGAAAATATGTAAATCAATAAATAAATTAATAAATAAATTAAATAATTAATTAGATATTCAATTAAGTATTCAATTAAAAGCAAATAATTTATAATAACAATAACCTTATTAATCATATTATCAATTTGTTTTAATGTAGTATCAAATGCTTCTTCTAGCCAATTGACTAGTTTTTTTAACGGAGGGTTATTTGGATTGTCTAAGGGGACATTAGAACCAGACATTTGATCCGTTGTTGGATCATTCCCAACATAATTTCTTAATTGCGGAAGGATCATGAATAATTCATGGGCAGATATCTAATAAACCAATTGATAAATAAATTAATGATTGAATATAAATTTCGCCTGAACCTCTTTGTTATTATTACCTTTGGAATTACAGCATACAAATCTTCAGATCTCACAAATGATTGTAAAGTAGCTAACAAGTTTTTATCATTTATTTTCAAATAAAGTGTATCATCAATTTCTTCAGTTGTAAAAGGTTCACTTCCGTTAGCTGAACTCGAGAAAGGTACCATTGGCTGATAACCCATAAGAAAATCATCCATAGGAAAATGTGATTAGTTCTATATGTCCGAAATGTAGATGTAGGTAATACAGTAGTTAGAATTTCTGTTTTATTGTTATCATCAGTACTTTTCTTATTGTCAGTTTTAGTGTCATCCTTATTTTCTCCTGGCATTTCAGAGGCTGAACCCTTTGTATTCCCGTCATCTAATATTGAAACATCTTTTACAACATCTATAGTAACTTCTTTGGATTTATCAGACATTACCGTTACTTAATTTTTCGGCTAAAGCGGAACAAAAAGCTCAGTGAGCAGTTCCTTTATATAGTTTTTTTTTAATAAAGTCTACCGGAATACTGTAATGAGTCACCGGAATAATGATTCCGAATACCAGATCAATTTACTGTACCATTATCATTATGGTAATTCTTTTCATTAAATATCTGATAATAGAAATTTTTAACGATAATCATTAAATATTCTCATTGTTAGAATACCTTTTTACAAATTATGACGACAGCTAGGGTGCAAAAAATGCTTATCTGTTATCTTTACAGTACGTACAGTACGTACGTACCGGTACGTATTTAAATTTTCATTTTATTTAAATTTTTAATTTAGTCTCGTTATTCAACCATGTGCCCCTTAGGCATAAATTACGTAATTTCTATTTATAATAGAGGCTTACCCCCTTTAATACATGAATTTCTGATGTTTTTAAACTAAAAATTTCTTTGACACTCACCAATAAAAGTAACCATCCTATACAATCAAAAATAATTTAAATGAAAGAATCTACCTTTGCATACCTTGCATTATAAATTTATCCTACTCAATATATTTTATCTTTTTCATAATACAATTTTTTCTAATTGATCCAAATTTTCACAAAGTGCTATATAAATTCGTTTTTTAATTATTAATGTTATTAAATCAAGAACAAAAATGTAATTTCTAGTGAAAGGTATTTAATTACGACCACACCAAGTTTTCCTCAATGATTTGCATTTTCAAATTCTTCTAAGTCTTATACCGTACTGGTCTTACTCCATTTCAAACGGAATTTCATAATTAATTAATGTATATTGTTGCTAGATAAAATTTATCAATGCTTTCCAAATTTTCATCAATGTCATTCACATTTGCAAGAGCCTAATAATTGTATTTGTAACATATCTACAATAAAAATTTCATCAGTATTATGTAAAATAACGACACCCTTTTTTTTCATAATTTTATTTTTTATACGTGCCAAACATTGAAACCATTTTTTTTATCAAAAAAAAATTGTGACGATAAATGTAAGATTATTTAAGAAATAATTATTTTACAAAATAGATTATCAGGATATATATTTTAAATACCGAACGTAACTTAATTTTTCATAGGAAGACTTTCGTCTGATTGGCTGATGTAAATCAATTACCTGGGTAACTTATTTACCGTATTTACGCGAAATAACGTTATTTAGAATAATGGCTTAATTTAGGCCAAAATTTGTAATTTCACCCCTGCGCGTTATTTGCGTAAATACGGTGTTACGATCGTCCTTAGAAATTTTCGCCACTTGACTTGACGATCGTCAAATCATTAACTATCGTGGCAATAACTTA